ATTCCATATTTTTAATGTATATGTATATAGAAATAATATTAAAACATTAAAATAAAGAAAAAATTATATTCAGATCAAAATTTAAAAACTGGTTAGTTGAACTTGATTTAGATGATGTGATGGTTAGACATAGATGTTGTAATACTCAGGTCAATCATCCCCCTCCGGCGGAGTTTTAACAGAAAATGGGTTACCCAACATCGTACAGAAAGAAGCAGTGGCGAAAAATGACATCCAATTTCAGGCGCAATAATTTGTCTTTGCTCTGTTTATGGACACTGATACCTCTGTTTCTCAGACACTCGATTGCAGCCGACACCTTACAAGCAGGGCAGTTCCTGAACGACACCGAAGTAATTGTTTCAGCCGCCCGGAAGTTCGAATTGGGATTCTTCACTGACCCCAGAGGTTCCAATTTCAAGTATTTGGGAATATGGTACAACAACATTCCCAATACTGTCGTTTGGGTGGCAAACAGAGACAGCCCAATTGTAAACTCCTCTGCCACTTTAAATTTCAATGGAGATGGAAACTTAGTTCTTGTCGATCAAACAGGTGCGGCTTTTTGGTATTCGAATTCGACAAGATTAGTAAAAGACCCAGTCGCCCAGCTGCTGGATACTGGTAATTTGGTGTTGAGAGATTCTGGATCTGAAATATTTTTGTGGCAGAGTTTTGATTATCCATCTGATACTCTGTTACCGGGTATGAAACTCGGGTGGGACTCGGAAACGGGTCTGAACCGGAAGTTAATATCAAGGAGAAGTCAAAACGATATGTCGTCTGGAGAATTCAGCTACAGCGTGAACACTGATGGGCTTCCTCAGCTTATGGTTCGTAAAGGAAACAAGACGATGCTCAGGGGCGGGCCATGGTTTGGCGGTGGTTTTGGGCGAGGCCGCTCCAACCTAGCGAATTTCATATATAATGCTTCTTATGAGATATCATTTTCATATGATGGTCCGAATAATAAAGACCCTTCAAGAATTCTGCTGGATTCAGATGGGTCCGTCGTACACTTTGAGTGGAGCGATGTGGACAAGGAATGGCGCACATCATACACGTTTGAAGGATCCGGCTGCAGCGACTTCGAATTATGCGGAAATTTTGGTCTCTGTAGTTCTTTATTAGTAGCAAGTTGCGATTGTTTAGATGGGTTTGAACAAAAATCAGCCCACAACTTTTCAGATGGGTGCGTGAGAAAGGACTCAAAAATCTGCAGTCCCGGAGAGGGGTTTAGAAAGATAAGTGATGTGAAATGGCCTGATTCCACAGGGGACTTGGTGAAAATGAAGCAGGGCATTCAAAATTGCGAGACAGAGTGCTTGAAAAATTGCTCTTGCTTGGCCTATGGTATATTGGAAATTCCCAAGGTTGGCCCTGCCTGCGTCACCTGGTTTCACAAATTGATTGATGTTAGATTTGTTCGTGACGCTGGTACTGGAGAAGATCTCTTTGTGAGAGTGGCCGCTTCAGAATTAGGTATCATTTTAGCTGCTTCTCCTCATTATTCATCACTACCAAAACTGATAAAGAAAACTTTGTTTGTAGAATCGACTAACAGGAAGCGCGTAGTTGCGGTGGTCGTGGCGACCATATCAGCAACAATCTTCTTGGCTTTGATCAGCTGGTTTGTCATTAGGAATGTAAGAAGAAGAGGTAGAGGTATGTAAAGCTTTCCTCCTTATGATACATGCTCATTTGGCTTGGTACTTGATCTTTTTATCACCATTTTTATCTACTGTCAAGTAATCATGTAGCAGGCCATGGAATTGCAACAACTGAGGCTCTAATTCAAGAAAATGAACTCGAGATGCCTATTGGTATAGTTGAAGCTGCCACAAACAATTTCTCTATTTCCAATAAAACAGGAGAAGGGGGTTTTGGACCGGTTTATAAGGTAGTCATTAGTCTCTCTTGACTACAGCTTTCAAGTATACTTCAATTTTCAATCTTTGTCTGGGTTGTGCTTAGGCTTCTCTGAGGATGGTTAGTTTTTTCCATCTCTTTTATTACTCCACATTGCACTGGTTGCAGGGCAGACTTCCATCTGGACAGGAAATTGCTGTGAAAAAACTAGCAGAAAGCTCTCGCCAAGGCCTACATGAGTTTAAAAATGAGGTCCTTGTCATTTCTCAGCTTCAACATCGAAATCTTGTCAAACTTCTTGGTTTTTGCATCCACGAGGAAGAAACATTACTTATTTATGAATACATGCCAAACAAAAGTTTGGACTACTTCCTTTTTGGTTGGTATCAAACAATCTTCCCACATTGTGCATGCTTGATTTAGTATACTATTCTACCTTTTAGTTTTAACATCTTTAAACTTTAGTTGTTCACTTAAAGACTAATATGAGCTAGAATCATTAAAATAGATGACCAAAGGCGTTCTTTACTCAATTGGCGAATGAGAGTTGATATCATAATTGGTATAGCTCGAGGGCTTCTTTATCTCCATCGAGATTCAAGACTTAGAATAATACAAGAGATCTTAAAGTTGCCAATATTTTGTTAGACGGTGAAATGAAGCCAAAAATTTCAGACTTTGGAATTGCACGCATGTTTGGCGAAGATCAAATCGAAACAAAAACAAAGAGAGTTGTCAGGACGTAGTGAGTAACAAAACCATCACTTTCGATCCTACCTGTTTGATTTGTATTTTTAAGATTTTAACATATAATCTAATATAACATTGTTAATGCAGTGGCTACATGTCTCCAGAGTATGTAATTGAAGGTTGCTTTTCATTCAAATCTGATGTTTTTAACTTTGGAGTCATGGTTCTAGAAATAATTAGTGGCAAGAAGAACAAGGGTTTTTTTCACCCCGAGCATCAACTAAATCTTCTTGGACACGTAAGTATAAGTAAACTACCATCTCTTGGAAATTAAAAACATACTTTTTTCACAATGTTCATGTCAAATTGAAATTCGTATCAGGTATGGAACCTTTGGAACGAAGGACCTTGGAATTAATAGACAGAACATTGGAAGATCAATTCCAAGAATATGAAGCACTAAAATACATAAATATTGGGCTTTTACGTGTTCAAAGACATCCAGATATCATGCCATCTGTGCTTTCAATGTTAGAAAATGATAACATGAAGTCAATTTCTCCAAGACAACCCGGATTCTATGGAGAAAGATTTGTATCATCAGATGCTGATTTACTTTTAGGTGATAAATCAACTTCCACTTCAAATAATGTAACTATTACATTGTTAGATGGTCGTTGAACTTATTGTTAATTATCATTATTATTATGTAATTCTAATCTAAGTTGTATCATTGAGTAGAACCTGTTATATGAAACAAGGTAACTAATCATATGTTTCTTGTCATCAAAATTTATGAGAAAGCTCAACTGCAGTCTGCTATTTCTGCTTCTGATCTTCTGAAGTTCTATACCAAAGTTTTCCATCCCATATTAAAGATATGAACATAATTCTACATTGATTTAAATTCGTACAAAATATGAGGAGATCAAATTCTAGCCCTTCCACGCAGTATGTGAAAACTTTGGAGCCTCTCCAAGCCCTTTGAAACCAAAAAAATGGAGGATCTTAAGAAGATGGACGAATGCTGAGGCCATGAACTTAAGGTGAAAGAAGACTCTTTTCAAAAGTTCGAACGCCACAGCCCACAGGTCAATGGCTGTTTCCATTACTGGCAAATTGACAATTTCAAATTTCAAGGCTCTCAAATATTTATATCAATATTCAGGTCAATGACTACTTTCCTATCAGAACCGGTCATCCTCATTCGCTAACAGAGTTTCACTCCTAACAAAAGGGGTCAACTAACATTCTAGCGCTTCATACAAGAAAAGGAGAGATGGAAAATTTGACTCCCAGATTCAATTTTTTGTGTTTGATCTTTTTCTGGACACTCGTACCTCTGTTTCTCAGACGATCAATTGCAGGCAACAGCATAAAAGCAGGGGAACCCATTAACGATACCCAATCAATTGTTTCAGCCGCCCAGAAGTTTGAATTGGGATTCTTCTCTGTGCCCAAAGGCTCCAGTTTCAAGTATTTAGGAATATGGTACAAGAACATTCCCGAGACAGTCGTTTGGGTGGCAAACAGAGATAACCCAATTGTAAACTCCTCTGCGACTCTAAATTTCAGTGGAGATGGAAACTTAGTTCTAGTCAATCAAACAGGTGCGGCTTTTTGGTCTTCAAATTCGACGATATCAGTGAAAACCCCTGTTGCCCAGCTGCTGGATTCTGGTAATTTGGTGTTGAAAGATTCTGGGTCTGAAATTCCTTTGTGGCAGAGTTTTGATTATCCCTCTGATACTCTGTTACCGGGCATGAAACTCGGGTGGGAATCCAAAACGGGTCTGACCCGGAAGTTAACATCATGGAGAAGTCCAAACGATCCATCGTCCGGAGAATTCAGTTATAGCCTGAACACATATGGGCTTCCTCAATTTGTGGTTCGTAAAGGAAACAAGACGATGTTTAGGGGCTGGCCATGGTATGATCATGATTTTGGGCAGGGCTATGGTAATGGCTTCACTTATGATCTCGTCTACGATGCTGCTACTGAGATATCCTATTCGTATAACGATTCGACGAATTGGCGTACAAGGATTGTCATGGATTCAGGTGGGTCCGTTCAAAACTATGAGTGGAGCGATGTGGAAAAAGAATGGCACAAATCATTCACATTTGATGGAGTCGGCTGCAACGACTACGATTTATGCGGAAATTTTGGTGTTTGTAGTTCTGTAGTAACGGCAAGTTGCGGTTGCTTAGATGGGTTTAAACAAAAATCAGGCAAAGACATTTCATGCGTCAGAAAGGATCCAGATATCTGCAGAGCCGGAGATGGATTCAAAAAGATAAGCAAAGTGAAATGGCCAGATTCTACAGGGGAGTTGGTGAAAATGAAGCTGGGCATTCAAAATTGCGGCGCAGAATGCTTGAAGGATTGCTCTTGCTTAGCCTATGGAACACTGGAATTTCCCAACATTGGCCTCGGCTGCATCACTTGGTCTCACAAACTGATTGATGTTAGATTTGTTCCTGAAGTTGGGCTTGGAGATGATCTCTACGTGAGAGTTGCCGCTTCAGAATTTGGTACTTGCTAAACACAATAAATTGAGTTCGTTCCGATTCTTCAGTGTAGCATAGCCAGAGGAATCGGCTAATACTTAAAAGACAAACTCTGTTTTGAATTTGTAGAGTCGGCTAACAAAAAGCGTAGAATTGCGGTGGTTGTGGTTGTGCCAATCATATCAGCAATAATCTTTTTGGCCTTAGCCGGCGGTTGGTTTATCATTAGGAGAAGAGGTAGAGGTAAAGAGCCTTTACTTCCTCATTCATATGACTGCTTATTTGGCTATCTTTTTATGACCATTTTTAATGTGTCGCCAAATCTCATGTAGCTGATAACGAAGTTGCTGTGACTGAGCCTCCAATTCAAGAAAATGAACTTGAGATGCCTATTGCTGTTATTGAAGCTGCGACAGACAATTTCTCTGCTTCTAATAAGATAGGAGAAGGTGGCTTTGGCCCTGTTTATAAGGTGCTCTTTGCTCTAGCTTTTTAAATGCAAGAATGGAGAAATGTATCCTTTAGTCCCTAAAGTAAACTTCATTAGGATTTGAAATCTCTATTATTGCAGGGGAAGCTCTCAAGTGGGCAAGAAATTGCTGTGAAAAAACTGGCAGAAAGTTCTGGGCAAGGGTTGCAGGAGTTCAAAACTGAGGTCCTTTTCATTTCTCAACTTCAACATCGGAATCTTGTTAAGCTTCTTGGCTTTTGCATCCAAAATGAAGAAATTTTACTTATCTACGAGTACATGCCAAACAAAAGTTTGGACTGCTTCCTTTTTGGTTGGTATCTTTCGATCTTTATTTATCTTTATTTCATGCTTGATTTAGTATTAACTGTTTTGCATTAACTTCCTTAAACTTGTCTTGTTTTGATACTAAAGACTAATATCAGCAAAAATCATTAAAATAGATGACCAAATGCGTTGTTTACTCAATTGGACAATGAGAATCGATATCATAATTGGCATAGCTCGAGGGCTTCTTTATCTCCATCGAGATTCAAGACTTAGAATAATACACAGAGATCTTAAGGTGGCCAATATTTTGTTAGATAATGAAATGAAGCCAAAGATTTCAGATTTCGGCATAGCACGCATGTTTGGTGAAGATCAAACAGAAACAAAAACAAAGAGAGTTGTTGGGACTTAGTGAGTAACAAAACCACTTTCATTACTTGAAATCTTACCTATCCCATTCGTATCATAAGATTTTAACATAAAACTCAACGTAAAATATTGTTAATGCAGTGGTTATATGTCTCCAGAGTATGCAATAGATGGTTACTTTTCAGTAAAGTCTGACGTTTTCAGCTTCGGAGTCATGGTTCTAGAAATAATCAGTGGCAAGAAGAACAAAGGCTTTTTCCACCCAGAACATCAACTAAATCTTCTTGGACATGTAAGTATAAACAAACGACCACATCTTCAAAAATATACCATTTTTATCCACAATGATGATGTCAAAATGGAACTGTCGTTTCAGGCATGGAAACTTTGGAACGAAGGAAGGGCATTAGAATTAATAGATGTAATGTTGGAGGATCAATTCCAAGAATCTGAAGTACTGAGATGTATAAACATCGGGCTTTTATGTGTCCAAAGACGACCAGAAGAAAGACCAACTATGTCAACTGTGGTTTCGATGTTGGAGAATGAAAACATGTCGTTAATACTTCCTGAACGACCAGGATTCTATGAGGAAAGGTTTATAACATCTGATATAGATTCATCGTTAGGTGATCAACTAACTTCAACTTCGAATAATGTTACTGTTACATTGCTAGATGGTCGTTAGTTGTTTGTTTCTTTTTCCTCTCTGTTTTGGTATAGGAGGTACTATAAATAGAATGATTCAACATTATTAAATTGTCTTGTTTTATTACATAGTTAAGTTTTTCTCTAGGTAAATGAGCCATTGTGTTACTCATAATCTATTGTCTGCAACTACAAATTTCTCTGCACCCATCAATCATTCTACTTTAATAGAATCACTTACTAAACCTCAACTTAATGTGCCGAATACAGCTACAAAATGTGAAACTTTGAAGGATATGTCAATCTCGGACCATTCATAAAACTTTAGTTTATAATTGAGTCATAATTCATCAATTCATACCGGATGAACTTCTCATTAATTACATTTCGATATATGAACTTCATTCGTGAAAGCAATTTATGATATTGTTCAAATAGATAAAGGTACTTATATATATCATTCTCTAGTTAATGTGGAACTTTGTTTACACTTCTTGTAATCTCTAACAATTACATCAATTCGCTCTCATTTCATGTACTCATCCGTTGAAATAATAATAAAATAAAGGAGGAGGCTGGCTTAAAATGCTTATTGTGAATTTGACTTGGCTCTATATTCTCCATCATTTTCCCCTCCTCTTGTGCAAGAAATTATAAAAGAAAGACATTTTAAACAGATAATTTTAATAAACTAACATATCAATAACAATGGAAGATTGATGATAGTCAAATGCACTGAAATGTTATATCTGTAGCAGAACGAGTCACTTCTTTGATTGCAAGATAAATTTGGCCAAGTCAAGTAAGCATGAGATGGTCAACCAATATGAGATTAGAGTCAACCTTACGATAGCTCAGTTTAAATTCTCTCCTCTACTTCTTGTTAAAAAAGAAGAAACTGTAGATGAGTATAATTCAAAGCTAAACACATAATTGAAAGTTTCAAGGCTTGTGCTCGGTTAATCTCAGAATTATTGTTCAAAAGGTAAGTGATTTTAAAAGAAAGCTGAACAATTATTTTAAAAAGATGAGCAATCCCTAGAAGTAAACTAAAAAAATCAATTTAAAGTAAGCAACACGAACGGACTGTAAAATTATATTCTTCGCATCGTTGTTCAGTTCCGACGATATTAGTTATTTCTTTAAAAAAATATAGGTCCATAGAAAACAGAGTGACAATGACGATATATGTAAATATTTTCATTCAATAGTAGCTGAAGAAACATGATGATCCTTTCTGATAAAAATATAAATTCAAAGTTCAATGCTTTGATGATTCTTTCATAACGATACGCGGATTGATATTTTGGTCAAAATGACAAATCACCAGCTTGATAGCATCACGCATCAGAAGAACTCAACAGGCTTGATTTGATTTTGAAAGAAGCCATGGGAAAACTGATTTGCAGGTGCAATCTCTCAGGTCTTTTCTTCTTCTGGACTACCATAGCTTTGTTTACAAGAAAATCGTTTGCAAGTGATAGCATACATTTAAAAGCAGGGGAATCCATCAATGGTAGTACCCGGATATTAGTTTCAGCTGAACAGAACTTTGTGTTGGGAATCTTCACTCCCCAAGGCTCCAAATTTGAGTATTTGGGAATATGGTACAACTACAAGAACATCCCTCAGACGGTCGTGTGGGTAGCAAACAGAGACAACCCACTTGTAAATTCCTCTGCCAGATTAAAATTCAACGAAGAAGGAAACATTGTTCTTCTCAACGAAACAGGTGGAGTTTTATGGTCTTCCGCTTCTGCAAAAACAGTGAAAGAACCGGTCGTGCAGCTGCTGGATACAGGTAATTTGATGTTAAGAGAATTTGGGTCTGAAAATTATGTGTGGCAGAGTTTCGATTACCCCTCTGATACTCTGTTACCGGGCATGAAACTGGGTTGGGATTCGAAAACCGGTCTGAACCGGAAGTTAACGTCGTGGGAAAGCTTAAACGATCCGTCGTCTGGGGATTTCAATTACAGTGTGGCCCTCGATGGGCTTCCCCAATTGGTAATTCGCAAAGGACCCAACACCACGTACAGGGGCGGGCCATGGTACGGAACAAGGTTTAGTGGTAGCCCTCCTCTCAGAGAGAACCCATTTTATTTTCCAAAGTTCGAATATGAAGCTGGGGAAGTAACCTATTCGTATGATGCTGCGAACAATCTCACTCTAAGACTTGTGCTGAACGCGGATGGGACATTTGAGCAATTTTATTGGGACGATGGTGGAAAATATTGGTACCCTTTGTATATATTGCCCGGAGACCGCTGCGATGACTATGGACTCTGCGGAGATTTTGGTATTTGTACATTTTCCCTCACAGCACAATGCGATTGCATGGCTGGGTTTGAACCCAAATCGCCCCAAGATTGGGAGAAGTTAAGGTGGTCAGATGGGTGCGTTAGAAGGGACAGTCAAATCTGCGGAAATGGAGAGGGATTCAAAAGAATCAGCAGCGTGAAATTGCCGGATTCTTCTGGGTATTTGGTGAATGTTAATAAGAGCATTCAAGACTGCGAGGCGGCGTGCTTGAACAACTGCTCTTGCTTGGCCTACGGAATAATGGAAGTTCGCACAGGCGGCTATGGCTGCGTTAATTGGTTTCAGAAATTGATGGATGTTAGATTTGTTCCTGAAAATGGACAGGATCTCTATGTGAGAGTGGCGGCTTCAGAATTAGGTACTGAATGCAAATCCTTCATTCTAATTTTTGTTTTTTCTCTCAAGAAGGGCCTGTTTTCAGCCCTTGTAAATGTTGCTTGGCTATTGTGAATCTGTATGTGAATAAAGATGAGATTACCAATACTTCATCTGCTGTAGACTCGACCAACAAGAAGCTTATGGTTGCGATCAGTGTGTCTGTGGCTTCATTTCTGGGCTTCTTGGTTTTAGTCATTTGCTTTATCCTGAGGCGTAGAAGGAAACTTAGAGGCAAGCATTTCTCCTCCAATACATTGATTAATCTGTCCGTTTTTCATGGCTCATATACATTCGTTTTTGTTTCTTGTATCCAAATTTCGTGAACCAGGTAATGAGATCACTGCAAGTGAGATTCAATCTCAAGAGAATGAAGTTGAGATGCCACTCTATGATTTTACTACGATTGAGACCGCCACAAATTATTTTTCTTTTTCAAATAAGATAGGCGAAGGTGGTTTTGGTCCTGTATACAAGGTGTTATTTCATACTGACATCTTTGTATTGAAACTCATTGCATAATCTACTTGTCTGTGTTTTTCATTCATTTTACAAACTCTGACTTTTGTTTTCAGGGAAGCCTTTATTTTGAGTAGATCATCTAGTTATGCACTTATACTCACAATAACACATGCATATGCTACTATACATTACAGGGAAAGCTCCCATGTGGACAAGAAATTGCTGTGAAAAGGCTGGCAGAGGGCTCCGGCCAAGGGCAAAGCGAGTTCAGAAACGAAGTTTTGTTGATCTCCCAACTTCAACATCGAAATCTCGTCAAGCTGCTCGGTTTCTGCATTCATAAAGAAGAAACATTACTGGTTTATGAATATATGCCAAACAAAAGTTTAGACCACTTCCTTTTCGGTTAGTGCCATGCTTGTTTTCTTTCACTCTATGCTCCTTTGGTTGAATAGATGTTAATTTTAATACCGTCAGTTCAAGTTTTTCTCAATGAACTATACAATCTATGAAGTTGGACTGCAATTGTAGATAATGAGAGGAGATCTTTACTCAACTGGAAAAAGAGAGTGGACATCATAATCGGGGTTGCTCGAGGGCTTCTTTATCTCCATAGAGATTCAAGGCTTAGAATAATACATCGGGATCTCAAAGTGAGTAATATATTACTAGATAATGAAATGAATCCAAAAATATCAGATTTTGGAATGGCAAGAATGTTCGGTGAGGACCAAACTATGACAAAAACTCAAAGAATTGTTGGGACCTTGTAAGTACTATGATAATTTCTTTGTTGGATTTCTATCTTTATGGGCTCTGCGATAGAATCATTAATCACTTGAATGATACCAATGCAGTGGCTACATGTCTCCAGAATATGTACTCGATGGATGTTTTTCACTGAAATCTGATATATTTAGCTTCGGAGTTATTCTTTTGGAAATAATAAGTGGTATGAAGAATAGAGGCTTCTTCCATCCGGATCATCAACTAAATCTTCTTGGACATGTGAGTTTTAATGACATTGTTGCAAACCAACCATGCTAAACTGAAAAGTGAACACTACTTAAGCATGGAAACTGACTCCAAGTTGTGAAATCTTTAGGCATGGAAGCTTTGGGATGACGGAAATGCTTTGGAATTAATGGATGCAGCGTTGGAGGATCGATTCCAACCGTCTGAAGCTCTACGATGCATTCAAGTAGGGCTGTTGTGTGTTCAACAGAGCCCAGATGAAAGGCCAAGCATGTGGTCAGTACTTTCGATGTTAGAAAGTGAAAATATGGTATTATCTCATCCTGAACGGCCTGGATTTTACACTGAGAGAATGGTTTTGAAAACCGAAAAATTATCCGCTGAAATCTCCACTTCCAATGAAGTGACTGTTACACTGCTACATGGTCGTTAGTAAATAATAAAGTCACTTTACAAAGACTACTGATTTTTGTAGTCTGGTTTTGAACACAACAGTTTGACATGAAATTGTAGCGTTCACGAATGTGCAACTACACCACTCATATTGTGTTTTTGAACACAGAGAGAATGGTTTCGAGAACCGAAAAATTACCGGATGAAATCCCATCTTCCAATGGAGTGACCATTACACTGCTAGAAGGTCGTTAGTAAAAAATTGGCAGTGATAAAGTCAGTTTACACAGAGTACTGATTTTCCTTTCAATGCATTGTTTTCGTGCAAAAAAACCTTCTTAACAATTAAAGATGTTTGCGACTTATCCTTTTTCATTCAGTAGGACAAGAAGTGGCTTCTGTTGTGAATTTGACGGCGAGTTCCTCAAGTTGCTGCTTGCACAGAATTTACCTTGATCACTAAACAAGCCTTTGAATTGCAGCTTAAACGATGCTTCTTTGGCTCCATAAAATCTCTGGCTTGCTATCCAGGACTGTGGTACAACAAAATTTTATGCCAAACCACTAACAGAAAATTTCTTTCCTCAAGGATCACTTAATCTGTTCAAGATTAATGATGGAAAATCTTGCAACTTTCAAGGGATAGTGTATCAAGGGCGAGTATAATCTAACTTAACTTTTACGATTAGTGCAAGTGAAGCACTTTTCTAGTATTAGTTTTGGGTAAAGAAAATATTGGTGTTGTAGCATTCAATCCTTTCTTGTGCTACATTAGTCAGTTCAATCAATTCCTTATTATTTCACGTACGTAATCCGTTTGAATAAAAATAAAATAGAAAAGCTGAGTTTGATTAATTTGAATTTGACTTGGCTCGTTCTTCATCATGTCCCCTTCCTATTGGGGAGTAATAATAAAAGAAAATCATTTCAAACAGAATTGAATAAACTAACATATCGACAGCAATTGAATTTGACAGGCAAATGCACTGAATATACATATGCAAGAACAAGTCACTCGTTTGATTTCCATATCAATTTGTGCCAAGTTCATATTTTCTGGAGTTAGACCCGCTACCGAATAAAAAACAATACTGAATTAAATGAATACTGAATCCAACAAAAATAACAGCTTTCATATTATAGAGTTCAAATTCTGGGATTGAAGAGTAATCTATGTCAGATTCAAATTTTGTTTGGTAGCTTATTTGATGTTATAACTTATAACTCGTTTGATTTGGGAATAGTAATGGGTTGTATTCTATTACAAGGTTTACTTGTATTAATCTATCTCTATTATATTTAATAAATAAATACATCCCGTTAAAACTTCTCAGCTATTAAAAATAAACAATATCAAAAAGTTAGTCAGAGTTCTTATTTATATAATGGGCAATCACCAAAAGTAAACTAAAAACAATCATTGAAAGAATAAATTGAAAAAAAAAAAAAACACAAACCCAAACTTGAAGAGAATATGGAGTTATCTTCTTCGTGCTCACTATATTAATTTTCTTTTGAGAAAGACTAGTTCCATAGCAAACGGAGTGACAATGACGGTACAGTATATATATATTTTGAATTCAATACTAGCCCAGAAAATACAGTATGATCCTTGCTGATGATAAAATATAGATTCAATGTTCGATGTTTCCAGAACGTATATGGATCGATATTTAGGTCAAAATGACAAATAACTTGCTTTTGATTTGAGACAAGCCATGAGCAAACTGATTTGCAGGTGCAAGCTTTCAGCTTTTCTCTTTTTCTTGACAACCATAGCTCTGTTTCCAAGAAAATCGTTTGCAAGTGATATCATAAAAGCAGGGGAATCCCTCAATGTAAGTACCCAGATATTAGTTTCATCTAGACAGAACTTTGTGTTGGGAATGTTTTCTCCCCAAGGCTCCAAATTTCAGTATTTGGGAATATGGTACAAGAACATCATACCACAGACTGTTGTGTGGGTCGCAAACAGAGACAACCCAATTGTAAATTCCTCTGCCAGATTAACATTCAAAGATGGAAACATCGTTCTTCTCAACGAAACAGGTGGAGTTTTATGGTCTTCCACTTCTTCAGTGAAAGAACCAGTTGCTCAGCTGCTAGATACAGGTAATTTGGTGTTGAGAGATTCTGGGTCTGAAAATTACGTGTGGCAGAGTTTCGATTATCCCTTTGATACTCTGTTACCTGGTATGAAACTCGGGTGGGACTCGAAAACCGGCCTGAACCGAAAATTGACGTCGTGGAAAAGCTCAAACGATCCATCGTCTGGGGACTTTACTTACAGTTTAGACGTTAATGGGCTTCCCCAATTTCTTATTCGCAAAGGATCCATCACGACGTTTCGGGGTGGCCCATGGTACGGAACAAGGTTTAGTGGTACTGCTCCTCTCAGGGATACCGCTATTTATTCGCCGAAGTTCGATTATAGAGCCGATGAAGCATTCTTTTCATATGATGCTGTGAACAATCTCATCGTAAGACTTGCACTGAACTCAGCTGGGTCATTTCAACAATTTTATTGGGACGATGGTGGAAAATTTTGGTATTCTATGTACGCAATGCCGGGAGACCGCTGCGACGACTATGGACTCTGCGGAGATTTTGGTATTTGTACATTTTCCCTCACAGCACAATGCGATTGCATGGCTGGGTTTGAACCCAAATCGCCCGAAAGTTGGGAAAGGTTTATGTGGTCAGATGGCTGCGTTAGAAGGGATATACGAATCTGCCGAAATGGAGAGGGATTTAAAAGGATCAGGAGTGTGAAACTGCCGGATTCTTCAGGGCATTTGGTGAATGTTAACACGAGCATTCAAGATTGCAAGGCGGCGTGCTTGAACAACTGCTCTTGCTTGGCCTATGGAATAATGGAACTTTCCACTGGCGGCTATGGCTGCGTTACCTGGTTTCAGAAACTGGTGGATGTTAGATTTGTTCTACAAAATGGACAGGATCTCTATGTGAGAGTGGCGGCTTCAGAATTAGGTACCTGAATTGCAAACCTCTTCATTCTAGTATCTGTTTTACAGCCCTTTGTAAATGTTGTTTGGTTATTGTGAATGTGTTTGTAAAGAGAAGATTATAACAATGCTTCATCTACTGTAGACTCAACCAAAAAGAAGCTTATAGTTGCGATCAGCGTGTCTGTGGTTTCATTTCTAGGCTTCTCGGTTTTAGTCATTTGCATTGTCCTGAGGCGTAGAAAGAAAGCTAGAGGCAAGCATTTCTCCTCCGAAACATTGATTAACCTGTCAATTGTTCATGGCTATAAACATTAATTAACCTGTCAATTGCTCATGGCTATATCATTTTTGTTTATTATCTCCAAATTTTGTGAACCAGGTAATGAGATTGCTCCTGAGATCACTGCAGGGGAGTTTCAGTCTCAAGAAAACGAAGTCGAGATGCCAATCTATGATTTTACTATGATTGAGACTGCCACAAATTATTTTTCTTTTGCAAATAAGATAGGCGAAGGCGGTTTTGGTCCTGTGTACAAGGTATTCTTTATTGCTAACATCTCTGTATTGAAACTCATTTCATAATCTCTTGGATGTGTTGAGCCTTCCTTTTACACTGCTAGTGTTTTTTCAGAGTTTTCGTTTGTGCAGATGATGCATAGCTATGTATATATATACTCTAACAATAACACATACATGTGCAACACATTGCAGGGAAAGCTTCCATGTGGACAAGAGATTGCAGTAAAAAGGCTGGCAGAAGGCTCTGGCCAAGGGCAAAGCGAGTTCAAAAACGAGGTTCTGTTGATCTCCCAACTTCAACATCGAAACCTTGTCAAACTGCTTGGTTTCTGCATTCACCAGGAAGAAACATTACTGGTCTATGAATATATGCCGAATAAAAGTTTAGACTACTTCCTCTTTGGTTAGTGCCAAACTTGTTGTCCTCACTCTATGCTCCTTAAGTTGAACATACGTTAATTTTAATACCTGTAATTAATTCTTTTTCTCAATAAACTATACAAATTAAATTGGACTGTGATTGTTGATATAGATAACAAGAGGCGATCTTTACTCGACTGGAAAAAGAGATTGGATATCATAATTGGAATTGCTCGAGGACTTCTTTATCTCCATAGAGATTCAAGGCTTAGAATAATACATAGGGATCTCAAAGTGAGTAATATATTACTAGACGATGAAATGAATCCAAAAATTTCAGACTTCGGTATGGCGCGCATGTTTGCCGAGGACGAAACTATGACAAAAACCAAAAGGGTTGTTGGGACCTAGTAAGTATTAAGACAATTTACTCTGTTGCAACATTTTTTTGTTCCTCACATGTTAGATTTTATCTTTATGAGCTCTGTGATGAGATTGTTAATATTAAATGATATCAATGCAGTGGCTATATGTCTCCAGAATATGCACTCGATGGATATTTTTCACTGAAATCTGATGTGTTCAGCTTCGGAGTTATTCTTTTGGAAATAGTTAGTGGTAAGAAGAACAGAGGGTTCTTCCATTCCGAGCATCAACTAAATCTTCTTGGACATGTGAGTACTAATGCATTCTTGCAAACTAAACCTGCTAATATCTGCAATCAATACTTAAAGTTCAGCACTTATCAAGCATGGAAACTAACTCCAGGTTGTGAAATCTTCAGGCATGGAAGCTTTGGGATGAAGAAAATGCTTTGGAATTGATGGATGCAGCATTGAAGGATCAATTTCAACCCTCTGAAGCAGTGCGATGCATTCAAGTAGGCCTTTTGTGTGTTCAACAGAATCCGGATGAAAGGCCAACTATGTGGTCAGTTATTTCAATGTTAGAGAGTGAAAATATGTGGTTATCTCATCCTAAACAACCCGGATTTTACATGGAAAGAATGATTTCTAAGGCCGATAGATTATCGGCTGAAAGTTCCACTTCGAATGAAGTGACGGTTACATCGCTAGGAGGTCGTTGATAGACAATTGCAGTGTTAAAGAAACTCCATAAAGGGTACTAATTTTCCCCTTCATTGCATTGCTCGAGTGCCAAAAAGACACCTCAACGATTCAAGACGAATGCAACTTGCTTCTTGTAAAAAATTCACTTTGACGACTATGTCTGATAAAACAGGATTTGGATCTCGGGATGATCGTTTTGGAAATTAGCACCCCTAATCGTGTCCTCTTTCTTACACATTCTCTGTGCGAACTGATAAGATATCGACTGTTTGAAAATCTAAATCCACTCTTTATCGTTCATTATTCGATTCTAGATGAGTTGCAACTTGTCATTTGAACTCCTATAACATGACTCTGTCAAAAGTTTGTTGTCAAACGAGATTATTCTTATTGAATATTAAGGTTTTAAGTACCTTCTAACTCTGGTGTGGAAGATGGGTTGTCTTTTTGCCAGAGTTTTTTTCTCATTGTGGTGTTCAGACCTTCAACAACCATGTATAATTTTACAGTGAAAATCAAGCCTTTGAATCTTAGAATGGCAAATGAAAACTAAATCAAGCCTTTGGAGGTCCCATTTTGGCGATTCTTATAATGGTTAGGATATTAAAGAATGAGTTTAATAGCTTTTGATATTAGTGTTTTAAAGTGAAGCATTTTTCTAATATAAAATTCGGATTTAAAAATTGGGTATTTTAGTATTTAATCTCTTTCTAGTTTCTATGCTATATTAATCTCATGAGGGTCAAACAATAGTTCTTTTTTTTTTTTTTGGTAAATCAATGAAATCACTCAATTGGATAGCACCAAAGTCAATGTTGTTGGTTTCTTCGAGTAATTAGTTTAATGGTAAAAAATAGTGAAAATTATTAAAAGAGAGAATTAATTTAAGATCTTCTTGACTTTCCTCTTTGATAATTTGTCTTTAATAATGAAAATGAGCTTTCGAGATACATAATACATTTTTCTTAGAGGCATCAAAATTTTCTGTACTGACAAGGAATTTCCAACAATAGGATAGAAATGGAGACTGGGATGAGAAATAATCTTTTTGACTGTTCTTAAGTGCAATGAATATTCTCCAAAATTATATAATAAAATATAAATATTTGATTAACACCTCTAAGTTTTATTGTTTTAATTTATATAATTATATGAATATTATGAAATTTTTTTTTCTTAGAGTATTCCATCAAAGGTGGAGCGGGAAATTTAAATCTATAACCTCTTAGAAGTAGTTAGGTTTATATTGATTTAAAAGATATGTTGTTCTAAAGAAAGAGAAAAATATATCATGAAATTAAAACCTTTTAGCTTAATTAAAATTTCAATTAAAAATCTATATATATTGTCAAACAATTTCCATGAAAAATCTTTAACCTTATCCTTGATTTTTCCTTTTTAAACAACGATTTAGGAAATAGGATAAGAATAGAGAGAAAATTCTCTATTCCCGCCTCCAGGTTGACACTCAAGTCCCCCGATACTCTCTAATCCTCATTTAAAAAAAGTTCAAGCATCTTATTATTCAATCTCTTTGCACTAATTAGTAATTAGGATGGTTTATTGGTTGACTTAATTAATTGATGGTCTTTGTAAAACGGTGGAAAAAAATCAAATCAACTAAATAATAGAAATGAAATATAGGCAAGGATATTATTGTAGCAGACCAAATATTTTTTTTTTGTTTTACTTTGGGAAATAGTAATTAAACTCACCTTTCTAATTTATTGCTACCATCACCATGTACGGTGTAATTAAAAGAGTTATTTGGACACCTCGGCCCCAACTTTATTCCTACTGAGTCAAGTTTCAATCTATGGTTCTCCACAACTCTTGACTTTGTCGTCAATATAATATAATGTAATAATAATCATATCATATATCATATTGACCTAGTCAGTCGTAACCATGGGGATAGAGTTCATAAATAAACGAACAAGCTAATGACGTCGACATTTATCTAATTTATTACTTTATTCACAATATAATTAATTCCCATAATAAGGACCTTTGTAAATAGTAAAGGATTTAGAGGGAACGAGTTCAAACCATGGTGGTCACCTACCTAGGATTTAATATCCTACGAGTTACCTTGTCAACCAAATGTAGTAGGGTCAAGCGGTTGACCCGTGATTAGTCGAGGTGCGCTCAAGCTGGCCCAGACACACAGATTTCAAAAATAATAATAATAATAATAATTAATTAATTCCCATTTGTTTAAACGTTGATATGTTATATTAAGGCAATTTATATTGATTTTTAATCATAATCTCAATACAACATATTATTATGTATAATATATTTTCATACTTAAAGTTTTCAACCTTGATCCTTAAAATTCTTGTAATTTTCGATGAATTTAATTCATGGCTTGTTTTAAAAATGTTCACTTTATGCATGGCTTACATATTGTTGAGAAGTGTTACCAAATCTTATGGTATGAATTTCTTACCTAATACATAGAAATACATGTGTTTTTAATGTTCAACAGAAATACATGTGTTTTTAAGGATTTTAAATTTTGAAAAATCTTGTAAAAATTTAAAGAAGTCAAAACTCATCATCATTTTCAATAAAAGAATTTCACGTACGTGCTTTGAAATAAAAAGATTTGGCTGTGGATTCTCCAAGTAGCTGGATTTTATTGAATTGTCGCATTTGGAAAAATGATATCTCATCCCAACAATTGAAATGACAAGTATAAGATAAATTGAACCTATAACGTATAGATTATGGATCTAACCACAACATTTTGAAATTGTTCGTAGACACTTGATTGGGGATAAATGTTGAGTTGCAAAGAGGGTAAACAAAGTCTTACATTTAGTTAGGAAAGAGAATAATTATATAGATGAGGACAATTATATCTTTAATCGTATGACGTCTTTTGGATGAAACGAAAAGTAAGGATGCGAGAATTATACCCAAAACGAACAGTATCAAACAACATGGCATGGCAGTTGCCCCTTTTAAATCTTTAGGTGTATAGAACCATAATTTTTACTCTCTTCCAAAAAATTATTTCATTTCCTTGAATAATTTCTCGTTGATGATACTACTTTCAGATGGGCATAAAAAATTAACTACTATAAATAAGAATTTTAAATGTTCATTTTGTTAATTAATTTGTGTAATTTGTTGGGGAAAGCTAAGACACGAGCCACGTGGGCTGAGCTCAACGATGCGTGATGTGCGTCAAGCTCCCAAATCGGTATGCTGACTAAGCTTAAGGGATTACCCCGAACTTGTTGGAGGCGAACTCTGACGTGATAAATACAGTCAATAGTAGAGAGCAGGTCACCGACTCCGGAAACAGTTGAATAGTTTGATTCGATTGCGCAACTGTCATTTACCTCCCCTATAAATACACCTCCACTCCATTAAATCAGGTATGAAAATATGTCTGATCTGGTCAATTCGTACTCAAAACTAGTTTGAATGTTGGAATGCTCTACTCGTTTTTGTAGGTCTCTCACCTCCAACTCGCTTGCCCACAGTTCGCTAGGGACCAAGACACATCGCTCTAGAACACTTTGCAAATTTCGGCATCAATTATTTCAATTTATTTATTTATTCTTATAAAGAGGATGTTCTTGATTTGATTTTATATTTATTTCAATTTGTGGGTATCATATAAATAATTTTAGATTCCGGTGATTTGATAAGTTTTCTGTAAAACCAGATTGATTTAGAATTTTTTTTTTTTTTAATAATTGTGTTGAGTTTTATAACCTGGTTAACTGTGTAGCAGTTGGTGATTCATTAAATGAGATGTATAATCAAAAGCATACAATAGAATAATTAAAATTTGAAAATCAATAATTCATTCATTCATTCATTTTCTATATAACACATTAAGCATATTTAAAAAAAAAAAGTAGTCACATCATTATTTCCAAGTATTCCATCTTTCTAGAAAATAAAAAAGAAAAATCAATATATTAGTGATGGCTACGGTCTAACCACGAAAATTTAAAATTTGATTTAGAAGTCTCAAAGAGGGTTTTTGTATCTGTCCTGACATGAAAAAAATAGATATAAACCCGTCTGTTAGGAAATAGAAATCCTTCCAATTAAGCAACAAAGATATTTTTCTGTAAAGGGCCAATTAGCTAATGCCCTTCCACACCATGCACGCGATTCCATCTTTTGATTTATGTGGCCAACAAAAAAATAATGTCCAGCCGATCAACCGTGGCATCCAAACAAAAATACTTATATTTCAATTTTCAAGTATGAGAGATAAATATTGAAAATAACATAATTTTTTTATCATTTTAAAAAATTAAATAACATTCAAATTTTTATTAGAGTATGAATAGTACTTATATCATTGGCTTCCTAATAACAAGTTATATCAACCAACCCAACGTCAGAGTTTAATACTTCCAACTACCCATCACATTTAATGTCCAAACTTCCTCTGCCTCATCACCACTATAATAAATAATAATCCATTTTTCGCCCTTAATGTCTGACTCTGATCTCGAATGAACCATGGATCCTCCTCCTGAACGGGCCGTCTTCAAAATTTTAATGTTTTTGGTTATTTTTGTTCGCCCTCACTACTTTATCCTTGCCGTCGGTAATACAACTGTCATTGACATCATCAAAGATGGAGGTCATTTGGTCTCCAGCAACAAAAATTTCGTTCTTGGATTCTTCAGCTTCCACAATTCCACCACTCGCCGATATGTCGGAATTTGGTACAACAAAATTCCCGAACTAACCCCCGTCTGGATTGCCAACAGAGACCAACCGCTGAACGACACCTCAGGAACCCTCGCCCTCGACGGTCATGGAAATGTCGTCGTATACAGCCCCGCACAAAGAATATCTATTTGGTCCACAAACGCTTCGATCCCGGCATCGAACGACGTGTCGGTCGAGCTTTGGGATACCGGGAATCTCGCCGTGGTCCAACG